AAAAAAAAAAAAAAAAAAGGGACCGGGGAGATAGCTCAGTAGGATAAGCGCTTGACTGGCAAACAGAAGGATCTCAGTTCAATCCCCGGTTCTGCCAAAAAAAAAAAAAAAAAAAAAAAAGTTACTGAAATTTAAAACAATTTCTGAGCTTTTAGAATATTTAAAACTTTTTTGTCTGAGACAGGATCTATATACCCCAGGCTGGCCTGAAACTCTCTGGATCACAGGTGCGTGTCACCATATAAAATAGAAACTTTGGGCCAGAGAGACAGCTCAGTAGAGTAAGTGTTTGCCTAGCAAATGCAAGGTCCTGAGTTCAATTCCTAGTACTGCCAAATAACCCAAAGCAAAACAAGAACAAAATAAAAAAAAAAAAATAGAAACTTAATTTTTTATGAAATAGAAACATTTTAAACTCGTTCTTGGGGGGTTGTGGTGGTTCTGGGGACTTGCTCATGTTAGGCAAATGGTCTACCTCTGCTCTAGCTTCAGCCTTTAAATCTTTTCTTTTTCAATACTGGAGACTAGGGGCCAGGGAGATGGCTCAGTGGAATAAGCACTTGCCTGGCAAGCACAGGGGCCTGAGTTCAATCCCCGGTTCAGAAAAAACAAAACCAAACAACAACAACAACAACAAAAAAAAACTGGAGACTGAACCTAGATAGCACTTTCACACTGACCTACATACATCCCAGCAACCAGGTTTTTTTTTAATCTTTTTAGACATTCTCATTATGTAGTGCACACTAACCTTGAACTCATGACAATCCTGTGTCAGCTTTCCAAGTGCTGGGATTACAGGTGTGTGCCACCATGCCTGACCCCCACCCCCACTTTTAAATTTTGAGACAGGGTCTTCCTAAATGGCCTAGGCTAAGCTCAAACTTGCAGTCCTTCTGCCTCAGCCTCCAGGAGTGTTGGGATTAGAGGTGTGCACATCAGCTCCTTAAATCCATATTTTAGGGTCACCAGTGTATGAAGAATGCCAAGCCCTAAGCAAATACCTGCAAGCATCATTAGGTCCCTGAGGGGAGAGACGTTTCTATTTCTTAACTAAAATCCACAAGTGAAGGAGCAGTCTTAACTGTCTCCCAATGCCACATGAAGGCTGAAGCCCCATGCAGAAAGAGCTGACACACAAGAGACTAGTACACATCTCGGGAGCATCTGCAGAATTTGCTGCCACATTAGAACCAGCCGGGAGTGCTTTAAGCTTCCCACGTCCAGGCCATGCTCCATTCCAATCCCACAAGAATGTGCAGGCTCAGGAGGACGCAAGCAGCAATGTCTTGAACTCTTCCAGGTGATTCCAACGTGCAGGCCAGCAGGCAGCTAGAGACTGGAAGGCAGGCCCTGAGACTCCCAGCACCAGATGCAAGTCCACCTGGCCCTCAGCACCCTTCATAAACGTGTGGCTCAACAGCACAGCTCCCAAAGTCCTACGCATACCACTCAACAGATTTGGCAAGGTTACCTAGATGACTGCCTGTAATGTGAGGTCAGAGACGCGGCCCTGATTCTCAGGCCTGGTTCCAGCTTCCTTTTAAGGCTGTTATAAAAGTGCAGCGAAGATGAAGGTGTGAGACTCCCCTAAGGTAGGTCCTGTCATTTAACACTGAATGAAGGGCCGGGGAGATAGCTCAGTAGAATAAGTGCTTGCCTGGCAAGTACCAGGGCCTGAGTTCAATCCCCGGTTCCGCAAAAAAAAAAAAAAAAAAAAAAAAAAAAAAACACTGAATGAGAATCCGTATTAAACAAGAACCAGGGCTTCCTGTTCAGTCAATGTGGCCACAGAGGGCCACAAGCAGGGAAGGCCACAAGCCCCTAGGCCCTGCGTGACTCCTGTCTCAGCACCCAAGGCCGTGGAAGGGGGGAAAGGCTGCCTCACCTGTAATCGAGCCAGGATGCTGGCTTTCTTGGAGTTGGAGGAGTAGCTTCGGGAGCAGGAGACGCTGCAGAACCTCTTGGTCTTGGAGAAGAAGGCCTCCCTTGTGCCCACAATACCGCACATCTCACAGACAGCTGCAAGAAAGCTTAGTGAGGGGGCCTGCCCCTTAGCTCAGTTCTTTAAGTGGCTGTTTCAACAAAGCAGTCAGGCTCAGGTTGCTGTGGTGTGATCCCCAGGACTCAAACCTGCCCTGAAGGCATTTGGAGCCAGCCAAAAAAAAAAAAAGAAAGCTTAGGGAGGCCGGGGAGATGGCTCAGTGGAATGAGCGCTTCCCTGGCAAGCGCAAGGGCCTGAGTTCAATCCCCAGTTCCACAAAAAAAGAAAGCTTAGTGAGTGACTCACCTGACACGGTCACCTCAGACCAAACAAATGGGATTTCAAAATCTAGGCCACTGCATCAACCAATGAGCCCTAGCCTGAATGTCCAGTCTCAAAAACCCCATAACTAAAAAAGAATATGTGCAGGGAGAAAGGGTCAAGGCACTTAACCTCTGCTGCTTTATTTTCTTCTTTAAAAACATATTTAAAAAATACTTAAATATTTATCATTTGGTGCAGGGTCTCACTATGTCTATCAGCCCCACAGTGATCTTCCCGACTCAGCTTCCCCAGCGCTGGGATTAAAGGCGTGCACCACCATCCCCAGTCTCAGTGGCCAGCTCGGTGCAGCACGATCCTAGGTCCTTGCACTCTAGGCAGGTACTTAAGATCACTGAGCTATCCCCTGCGCCCTGCAGCTCTGTTTTCTCACCCAAACAGTAAAGACTGAAGTAGTTTTGGGGTGCAACCCTGTCTCCACATTGGAATCACCCGAGATTCTTTTTTTTTTTTTTTTTTTTGGTCTTTTTGAGACATGGTCTTGCTCTGCAGTTCAGGCTGGCTGTGTGCTCACTTTATAGCCAAGGCTGGTCTTGAATTCACAAGATCTTCCTGCCTCAGCCTCTCCAATGCTGGGATTACAGGCGTGTGTCACCACCACCCCCGGTAGGAGCCTGAGATTCTCATGAATTGATCCGTATGCACACAAGCATCAGTAATTTGTTACAAGGTCCCCAAGTGATTCCTTCTAGTCCCCTAGGCCTGCTGGTCCACAGTGATTCCTTCCAGGGCTAAAGTGCTGAGGTTACAAGAGAAGAGATGGGAAAAGACAGGCAGGAGAAAGACAAAGGATAGAAAGGAAGAGAAGACAAGATGACTAGAAAGAAAAGGAGGTTTGACTGGCAAAGAATATTACATTACCCTTGTAAATAGTGTAGACACCAAGGAAAGGGTGACAGACTGTCAACGCCACCTCTTTTCACTGGCAGACCACACAGCAGAAGCCCTGACACAGTGATCCTGCAGCTATTCAAGTATTACCTCTCTGGGTTGGAGAGATAGCTCAGTAGAATAAGTGCTTGCCTGGCAAGCACAGGGTTCTGAGTTCAATCCCTGGTACCACAAGAAAACAAACAAACAAGGAAACATTACCTCTCTGAAGACAACTGGATTCCAGATGGTCCATGGAGATTCTTACCGGGCCGCCCAAACCCTTAGCTGACATTCCTGCTTCTCATCCCCAGTGCCCTGATTTCCAACACATAAGCCCTGCGCCACCATCTTATTTCTTGTCCCTTTAGGGAAAGGACCCTCATCACCACTTCCTATCTTCTCCACATCTTGGAAATCCTCTGCCCACTCATGCAAGTGTAAAGGCAGCACATGTCACTGACTGGCTTCTCACATGTGCTCAATAAACATCAGTTGTGTGAGATTAAAAATATACATTGGGGACTGGTGAGATGGCTCAGTGGTCTAAAGCACCTACTTAGAACAAGCTTAGCAAAGCACAGGGACCGCGGTTCAATCCCCCAGCACCACATGCCAGCCAGCCCCATCCCCTGGTGGGCTGAGCTGGCCACACACACACACACACACACACACACACACAAATAAATAAATAAAATAAAATAAAATAAAATATATATAACATTGGTTGTGTGAAAGAATGAATGAAATCACAATTTGAAACCACATTACAGCATAGGAAATAGCCAGGTCTTTAGACATCTGATTCCTAAGATGTGAGATCTACAAGTATTTTCAGGACTGGAGAGACAGCTCAGTAGACTAAGTGCCTGCTTAGGTAATTGGGGTTGGGCAGGGACAGGGAGATGGTTGGGGCCAGGAAGATGGCTCAGTAGAATAAGTGCTTGCCTGGCAAACACAAGGGCCTGAGTTCAATCTCTGGTTCTGCAAAAAATAAAATAAAATAATAAAATAATAATGATAAAAATAAAAGTGCAGGGACCAGAGTTCACCCTGGCATCGCATGCTCAGCTGGCCTTGCCCTTAGGCTCCCTGAGCTGGTGAGCAGGCATGATGGTGCTTGCCTGTAATCCCAGCACTGGGGAGCCTGAAAACAGAAGGATCACTAGGAGTCGGAGCTGCGTAGTGAGACCCTGTACCAAATACATTTTTAAAAAAGAAAGAAGGGCTGGGGAGATGGCTCAGTAGAATAAGTGCTTCCCTGGCAAGTGCAAGGGTCTGAGTTCAACCCCCAGTTCTGCAAAAAAAAGAAAGAAAGAAAAAGAAGTACATTCTTCTGGATGGCCAGTGCCCACCCTCCTCTCCCTCCAAAATCTCCTGACCCCTCTCTATCTTATCTTCCAGGGACACGGCAAAGGCACCTGGCTCAGACCCACTGCCATCCGCAGCGCCGGAGCGGGGAGTCCCAGAGCTGAGCAGATGCAGCGGGGAGGTGGGTAACTCCCCTGCTTCTTGATCCTCATTTTCTGCTTCACTTGATTCTTCCAGATAGGAGCTGCTCTCACTGCCCACACTGCTGTTGTAACTCCGGAAGCTGTCGTAGCCACCGAACAGCTCTAGGTCATCATCTTCCTCCTCCTCCTCCATTGACTCTGCGGCGGGAGCCTCCTGGTGGAAGAAGGACACAGACCAGTGGAAGTAGCCGGACTGGTTCCATGTATGGGGAGGGGGCCTGCAGGTCTGCTACTGACCACCTTTTGGTGCTTTGTCACTTTTGGGGGCCTTCCCAACACCCCTTTTGGCAAACATCAAGGAGGACTCTCTACATATTCCTCCATAACAACAGACATCAGAAGACGTAAATATATGCGAGAAACCTACCAGGTTCTTCTGTGGATTTACAAATAACAGCATTTTAATATGGATGAGATATTGATTTCCAGTAGAGTTACATCCTGAGAAACCTGTCACTGGTTGACGATATTCTAAGTTGAAAATGCACTTATCAAACATCATGGGCTAACACAGAACACTGTAGAGAACTGGGCTGGTCCCCATGATCAAATGGCTCACAGAAGCTGCAGCTTCCTGCTAAAATGCCCAGTATTACAAGCTGGAAAGTAACTTGGGATCAGATCAAAATTCAAGATTCAAACAACAGATTCTGCTGAATGAATACTGTTTCCACAATATTGTGAAGTTAAGCAACTGTCATTTGAGGACCTGCAGTCTGTTCAATGTGAAATGTCCTAAATAATTACAAAGACTTTTCAGGGAAGACATACATTTAAGTCATTCTTTCCTGGTCAGCACTTGTGCACCAAAATAACTTCAACTAGGGCCTGAGTTCAATCCCTGGTTCCGCAAAAAAACCCCAAAAACAACAACAAAAAACTTCAACTCAAAAACAATTTATGTCAGAGAAATATTAACAGGAGACAGGGTGTCTGAAAGAAGATTTGAGAGGCAGACGGCACAGACAGCTACAGCACTGTGGTACCACAGGTATCACAACTTCGGGTTCAGCTCCCATCCTACCTGGCTGTGGGGGCCCTAGGGCAGGCCAGTTCTCATCCATGGAATAAAACAGATTTTGGCTCACAGGATGTGAGATGTAAAAAAGACACCGTATGTAAGTCAACCTGGTAGAAAAGGCTCAATGAGGCAAGCTGAGCGAGGCAAGCTGAGCCCTCTAGGGATTGCTAGCTGTAGGACCCGCAGCAAATCAATTTCTCAGTGCCTCAGTTTCCACAAGATTAGGATAATACTGTCAACTTAAGGGGGAGAAGAGATGGCACAAGCAAGCACATAATCAGAATGGCAATTTGCAGAGTGCTCAATCAGTGGTAATTTTTTTTGGGGCAGAGCTGGGGATTGAACTCAGCCCCTTGAGCTTGCCAGGCAAGTGCTTATTCAACTGAGCTATCTCCCCAGACCCTGTCAGTGGTAATTATTATTGGCTAAAAGCACAGTGTCTCAAATCCTATTTGCCTGGGTTTGGGCCCTATTGGTGCTACCTTTTAACTTGAGATATCTGTGGTTTCATCTTACTGTTTTAAGAAAGCATCTTGGGCTGGAGAGAAAGCTCGGCGGTCTAAGCCCCCACCTGGCAAGAGCAAGGACCTGGGTTCAATTCCCGCTACCCCATGCTGTGCAGGCCCCAGCACTGAGCCAGCCACTGAAATTGGGCATGGTGGCGCACACCTGTAATCCCAGAGCTGGAGAGGCAGAGACAGGAGGCTCACTACGAGTCTGAACTGCATAGTGTGACCCTGTATCCAATTTAAAAAAAAAAAAAGAAGAGTGTCTCACCATGTAATTCAGGCTGGCCTCAAATCTCATGGCAACCCTCCCGCCTCAGCCTCCACAGTGCTGGGATTACAGGTGTGTGCCACCACGTCCAGTTTAACTGAGATTTTGTTCACATTTGGCCTTACTGCTCTGTTTCTTCACTCATACATTGAAGATGGGGGCCTGCCCCTTAGCTCAGTCCTTTAAGTGGCTGCTTCAACAAAGCAGTCAGGCTCAGGTTGCTGTGGTTCGATCCCCACAACACAAGACAGCCAGTCATGCCTTGAAGGCATTCGGCGCAAAAAAAAAAAAAAAAAAAAAAAAAAAAAAAATCCTTGTTTCATACAATGAAGACAACAACAAGCCTTCTTTGGAGGGCTGTTAAGACTGAAGAGAGGGCCGGGGAGATGGCTCAGTAGAATAAGCGTTTCCCCTGGCAAGCACAAGGGCCTGAGTTCAATCCCCGGTTCCGCAAAAAAAAAAAAGACAAGACTGAAGAGAGGGCTGGTGATAAAGCACATACTTAGAACAAGCTAAGCAAAGCACAGGGACTGCAGTGCAATCCCCCAGCACCACATGCCAGCCCGCCCGCCCGCAACTGTATTTTCAGCAACTGGTAACAGCTCTGACTGAACTCGCTGTTACTGTCATTGTCCACATTATTATTCTCCTTCACCCTGGTAGTTTTCCAGCTAGTCTACCTCCTATTTGTAACTCCACGCAAACATATCGGAAGGAAGCCAAATCCAAATACACAAGGTGCCCAGAGGACACATAATGAATGGTGGGCGGGTCACAGGCTGCTGCGTTAGGAGAAGAACCAACGACAGGCTTCGCGGGCTGGCGACCGCGCCCGCCTCCCGCACGCTCCGCGGGGGCACCTCCGGGGACCGACTCCCCACGCGCCTCGGCTTCCGAACGGAAGGGACAGCCGGGCGCGCGGCGGCTGGGGCGCTGGGGCCGCGCAGCCTGCAGCCTGAAGCCTCCGCCTCCCCTTCTTCCCTCACGCGTGTGACAGACCTCGCAACCCCTAAGGAACACGACCACGAGACAGGCAGCACAAAGGAGACGCGGGAGCCCGGATCTGGGCCGGCTTCCCTTCCCCACGCGAGGGAGGCCGTTTCTGCGGAACTTCGCGCCTGACGTGAGGCCCACAGGAAGAAGCGACGCCGATCGCCCTGGCAGCGTTTAGATCGCTACCTCAGTTTACCAATCCTTCCACCCTCCGGGCGTCGTTAAGAGCCCTAAAGACGCAAACACGGAGCAGGGCTCTCGGCAGTTCCCTTTTCTAGCGGTGTTAAATCCTGCTTCTCTCACCTCAAGGCTCTGCGGCTTCTCCATAAGACAACTCTGTTTCCTTAACCGTCATCAGGTGTGGGGAGCCATTTTGGCCTCGCGGCTCTCCCCGAGCACGCTCATTGGTCGCTTCCCTGAGCCAAAGGCCAATCACGTTGCAGGAAAGAGGAGAAGCCGGTTCCGCGTGGGCTCGCGTCGCTCCTCCCCCTGGAGGCTAGGAAGCCGCGGGTCGTTATGTGACTTGTAGTTACAGCCTGTAGTCGCGTGAAGCGGAGGCAGGGCGTTGCCACGGAAACGGGGAAATTCTGCACCTGCGCTCTTGGAGTTGTTTTTACACTGCTCCTCATCCCTGCCATGTTCACTTTAAACAATTACTCAGCACTCACTAAGGACATTTCCAGGCTCCAAAGAATCACCTCGCGCCTCCTCATTTAGAAATGTAAGGTGGGCTTGTGCGGGGAACTCAGGTCAGACAGAAACTGCAATAGGTCCATGCTCAAAGCTAAAAAGTGCGATGGGCGTAGCGACTCACAGCTGCAATCCTAGCACTTGGGAGGCCGAGACAGGAAGATCGCTGCGAGTTTGAGGCCAGCCTGGGCTATGTGTTGAGTTCAAGGCCAACCTGATTACACAGCAAAATTCTATCTCAAAGACTGAATGAGTCCTGGAATCCTGAAATCTTCTCTGTGACTTGTTACTTTTCACACTAGTACAAACGTATAAAAAGCATGAGAAGGTAGAAACCCGAGCTCTCCAGAATCATAGTTGGGGGCCCGGGGAGATGAGTCAGTAGAATAAGCGTTGGCCTGGGCCTGAGTTCAATCCCCCGTTCCGCCAAAGAGAGAAAAAGAAGAAGAAGGAGAAGGAGAAGGAGAAGGAGAAGGAGGGGGAGGG